TCCTTCAGCCCTGCAACCTCCCCTGGATCTAAGGACGGAACATGCAGGGTCTTAAACATTCAAGAGTAGGCTTAAGACATTCCTCTTTGATAAAGCTTATAGTTAGGGCTGGATCAGGTGAGTCCTGAACCATCCCTTAGTTATGCTGCTATAGGCCTAGACTATCGGGGGATTTTCCATGGTGCACTGAGCTCCTCCCTTCCTCTCTCTTTATGCACTCATTCATGTCCCATTAATGCATGTTGCTAACTCCACTTCTTCCCCGGAGTTCTTGTGCTTTCTCGTCTCGCAGGTTCTCATGGATCCTGGTGGAGCCTCCTGCCATGGTCCTGCTTGACTGCCATTGCCAATACTGTTGTTGCTGTGCACCTGTCTGTCTGTCTGTCTCTCTCTCTCTCTCTCTCTGCCTCTCTCTCTTGCTCTCTCTCTCTCTCTCTCTCTCTCTCACCCCAACTGGTCGAGACAGACGACCACCCACCTAGAGCCGGAGGATCTGTCCTAGGTTTCTGCCTTTTAACAGGCAGTTTTTCCTTGCCCTTGTCGCCAAGTGCTTGCTCATGGTGGTACTGTTGGGTCTCTGTAATTAATGTTAAAGAGTTCGGTCTAGACCTGCTCTATTTGAAAAGTGTCCTGAGATAACTTCTGTTATGAATTGGCGCTATACAAATAAAATTGAATTGAATTGAATTGAATTAAAGAAATCTTCCAATACAGAGGGGTCTACAGATGAGCCGGAACTGTATATTTTTAGACTTTCTGTACATTTTGTGCCCTGCTCATCATTGATTTCAGGGATGGTCTGATTAGCATTCCTCTGTCTCAACTGGTGAGCGAGAATCCATCCAGCCTTTTCCCTGTGTTCATAAGACCCATATCGTGATTTGGAGATACTCAGCCTGTCTCGTTGATAAGAGATCAAACTCTGTCTGTAGTGACATTTGCCTTTTCCTAGAGTCTGCCGAAGGTTGATGGCTATGTAACCTAATCTAGTTCAAGAATCTCATCCGCCAATTCTTTAAGTCGGGCAGTGGTTACTTTCCTCTGATTAGCACAATATGAGATGAACTGACCTCGTAAATACACCTTTGATGACTCCCAAATAGTTAGAGAAGACATTCCAGGCGTTTGATTAATATCTAAAAACAATGAAATTTCAGATGCAATAAAACTAGTAAAAGCCTTGTCAGAAGCAGAGGGTTGAGTCTCCAAGGGCGATAACTGAATTGTGTATCTGGGATGCGCATTCTCATAGTTAAGGGGCAGTGATCTGAAATAACTGTGGGTCCATAATCACATCCGGTTATAAGGGGAAGTAGTCTTTTGTCCAAAAAAAAAAAAAAGTCTATACGGGAGTATGTGTTATGAACTGGGAAGAAAAAGGAGTAACTCCTGGAAGCAGGATTACGAAAACGCCACACATCCACTACTGCATATGATTCAAGAAAAAGCCGGATAGAGAGTGCCAACCCAGGCAGGGACGACAATCGGGCGAACTACGATCCAACACAGGGGAGAGCATACAATTCATGTCACCACCAAGGATAAGGTAGTGCGATGTCATGTTTGGTAAGCGGGAGAAAATAAAAAAATATATATATATATATATACATACATACATACATACATACATACAGTCCTGCTCACTATTATTGGCACCCATGAAGTTTAAGTACATAATGTGGAATATCTTGTGAAAAAAATTTATCAAGTGAAACATTTCTGTTCTATAGAGAACTCGTGTTTGATACAAAAGAGCAAATGACAAACAACAATTTAAAACAATAAACAATGGGAGGATAAAATAGAAAAACTTGGCACCCTTTGCTGTAAATCAGTATGGAAACACATTGTGACTCACCTATGGTAAATCACAAATGAGAATCACCTGTGATAAATTGTCTGTGCCCATGTGACATGAATTAGCCAATGAATGATGACTTCCGTGTTTTAAAAAGCCATCTGTTATCCCCTGTTCCTTTGTCACAATGGTGAAGACAAAGGAGCTGTCTGAGGACATCAGAAGTGTGATAATTAGCAAACACAAGACCTCCAAAAGGTATAAGGCCATCTCCAAAGACCTTGGTATCCCTGTTTCAGCAGTGCGTAATGTTATTAGGAAGTTTACCAAGCATGGAACTGTCAAGAACCTCCCTGGATGTGAAGAGAAAAGAAAAATTGATGAGAGAAGTCTTTCGAAGGTTGGTGCGAATGGTGGACAAAACACCACGTCAAACATCCAAAGACCTGAAGGCCAACCTGGAACAGTCTGGGGTCATGCTTTAGGGCTTCATGGGTGAAGGCCAAGGAAGACACCATTGCTGAGAAAAAGACATAAAAAGGAACGACTAATCTTTGCCAAAGAGTACCAGGACAAACCACAATCCTTCTGGGAAAATGTTCTGTGGACAGATGAAACAAAAATAGAGCTTTTTGGCAATGCACACCAACAGTTCGTTTACAGACGGCGCAATGAAGCCTACAAGGAAAAGAACACCCTACCAACAGTTAAGCATGGTGGAGGATCCATAATGCTGTGTGGCTGCTTTGCTGCATCTGGTACTGGAGGCCTTGACCGTATCACAGGAATCATGAAATCAGAGAATTTTTAGAGATTTTAGAGTGAAATGTCCTACCCAGTGTGAGAAAACTTTGTTTGAGTCGAAGATCATGGGTCCTCCAGCAAGACAAAGACCCAAAGCACACATCCAAAAGCATGCAGGAATGGTTGAAAAGGAAAAAATTGACTGTTTTAAAATGGCCAGCAATGTGTCCTGATCTCAATCCGATTGAAAATCTTTGGTATGAGCTGAAATCTGCCATTGGGGAAAAGAAACCTGCAAACGTTCAAGAGCTTAAACAATTTGCAAAGAAAGAGTGGGAGAAAATACCAGCTGAGAAGTGCAAGAAGCTTATAGATGGCTACAAGAAACCTTTGGAGGCTGTCATCACTGCCAACGGGTGTGCAACCAAATATTAAAGAGGGGTGCCATTATTGCTGCACATGCTGTTTTTTCTGTTTCTTCTTTGAAATTACAATACATTCAAGAGTAGGCTTAAGACATTCCTCTTTGATAAAGCTTATAGTTATATATATATATATATATATATATATATATAACATATATATACAGAAAAAACAACTAGCAGCTGCACAAGAACCAAGACTATGGATCAGGATGACTATAAACAAAAATCACTTCAAAAATAACCTGCATAAGAAATAGGGCCTGGAAAAAATTCCCACCCATTAGCCCAAATAAGAAATAAATTAAACATGACGTTCAGGTTAATACTGTACAGCCCAAGTTAAGTCCAAGACTGTGCCAGGGCCTTATAATCCTATAAACGAAAACAACAACTGCGTGTCCATACATTACAGTATAAAAAATAAAATTAATGCCTGGAAGACTCCTCAGCCCAAATATATCAAAAATAAAATGGCAGTGTTGATCCTCCTTATTACAACAAAAGTCTGTTCAAACAAATATCGTCATGGGATGATAATTTAGCCAGGGCCAAATTACTCACTCAACCCTCTGCTGTAGAGATGACATTCTTCTTGAACTCCTTTTCCTCTCTGTTGAACGTGATGGGGAGACGAGCTGGAAACAGGATACCATACCGGAATCCCTGCCAGTTACGGAGCAGCTTCCTGACCTCATTGAATGCCACCCTGGCCTTGGCGACAATCAAGAAAGATAGCAATTGTCTCACCGTTGGGCCGGAGTGGAGCACGAGAGCACCCCCGGCTCAGTACCTCAATGCAGTCCTGGTAGTAGTGGAGTTTGGCTATGATGGCGCGTGGTTTTCCATCCTTCCTCTCGGGACCCAGAGTTCTGTGAGAGTGGTCCACAAGCACATCTCTATCCAGCTGTAGCGCTTCTGTCAGTAGCTTTGAGACCGTTGTTGTAGAGCTTGATCCATTCGTTTCCGCCACCCCCAGGATCTGTTGTTGCTGTGCACCTGTCTGTCTGTCTGTGTGTCTCTCTCTCTCTCTCTCTCTCTCTCTCTCTCTCTCTCTCTCTCTCTCACCCCAACTGGTCGAGACAGACAACCACCCACCTAGAGCCGAAGGATCTGTCCTAGGTTTCTGCCCCTAACAGGCAGTTTTTCCTTGCCCTTGTCGCCAAGTGCTTGCTCATGGTGGTACTGTTGGGTCTCTGTAAATAATGTTATAAAGAGTTTGGTCTAGACCTGCTCTATTTGCAAAGTGTCCTGAGATAACTTCTGTTATGAATTGGCGCTATACAAATAAAATTGAATTGAATTGAATTGATGTTACATCTCCTCAGTCTTCCCTCCATGTCCTCACACTTATTTCTGAGTCCAGTCACCTCTGCTGCCAGGTCACTCACCGTAGTCTGTAGAACTGCCACCTCGTCCGACCAGGTCGTTAGCCCACCTTCCACCTCTTTAATTGTAGCTTTCATCTGGTCGACCTCGGAGTTAATTGCAGCCGTGTTGTTCCTTATTTCCGCTTGCAACTCTTTCAGCTTCAGCTTTGTTTTTATCACTGCTGCAATGTCAGTCTTTAGTGAAAGCAGGATATCTCTCTTCAGGGTTTAGCATCCATCACTTGGCTGATTGGCAGGGGCGGGGGCTTCGGGCCCGGGGAGACGGTGGAACTCGTGGATGAGGCGGTGTAGGGCCTAGATTTGGTTGACTCTGCAAATTTATATTTACGCCATCTACACACATACACATGTACGCTTAACTTAGGGAATATGTTCGAAGCGAGTTTACCAGTATTTCACAACAAAAGGCAATTATTAACTTAAAATAATACAAAAGTTCAACGAGAGCTCAAACCAAACCCGACCTACTCCATTGCCTGCTCGACAGCGCCCCCCCAGTGCTTCAGAATTACCTTCCTTGAAGCCTCAAGATGTTTCACAATCCAGGCACAAAGTTTTCAGGAGCTTTCATGTTAAAACTGACCATACAAATACCACTGCTCTTAAGCCATTATAGATAAAAAGGACATTTATATTGTGACTCACCCGGAACATTTTCTCCACCTTGGCAATGCTTTTGACAAATATGGTACCTAGCTGGTCACCAACGCCTGCCAGGAGGAATCCAAACAGTGGAATGCCAAATATTGCATACAGAATGCAGAAAATCTTCCCTCCCTCAGTGCTCGGGGCAATGTTACCATACCCTGCAGGAGAAAAAGCAGGCAAAAAGTTACTTTTAATTTCACATACACAGATATTGATCTGTTAATCTGTTATCTCCAATAACACAGGGCCTAGATCACTGGTGCGTATCTATGGAGTTAGATTTGTGTCTTTATTACATGCGAGAAAATAAATGATCTGAGAGAAAAAAAAATGTTTGAGAGAAAAAGTTATCACACTGATAGCAAAAAAGCATTTTATGAGAGAAAAAAAATATTTGAGAGAAAAGTTTTCATACCAATAGCAAGTTTGGATAACTAAAAAAAGTTTTGAGAGAAAGTATTTTCTCATAGAACATAATATAAATTTGAAATTTTTTACATTATTTCTGAGAAAAAAAAATCTCTCTCAAAATGTTTTTTAACTCTCAAATATATATTTTTTTGCTATCAGTGTGAAAACATTGAAAATGAAAAAAAATGTGTTTCTCTCAAAAGCTAAGTCTTTACTCTCGATGCAATTTCTTGCTCTTGTGTCAGGATTTTGCTCTCACTGTGAAAATAATGTCATGGGCGGGGCCACGTTCCTATTGGCCATTCGGTTGAGAATCGTCTTGGGAGTCATTACACCATTGTTGATTCACCGGCATAGATGCGCTGCCTTAGTTGAGCACGGAGACTCCAATGTTTGGGTAAGATGATGACACACACAACTCGATGGGTAGCTAGCTGAGCAAGTTGGTAATCAAAATCATTCCCATCATAGGAATGACTGTCCAGCCCTAACAGGTTAGAGAGTAATAGATCAGAGGTATTAAAGGATGTTTAATTGGTTAGTAATGTGGAATTCAGCTCAGCTTACATCACTGAAGATTAAACATTAAATAGGCTATCCTAAATGTAAGCTAGTTTGCCATTACTGATGTGTTTGTCAGATTGTGATGGACAAAGAATAGCACTCATATTCATGAATGTGTATTATATTATTAGCATGCTAATCGCTAGTAAAATTAATCGCTAATTAGGGTAGAAACTAGCTCACTACTCACTAAATAAGGAGTGAAACTATCTAAATCAACATATTCATTTGGAATTTGATTTAAAAATAGTATAACCAGGTGAGTTTGCAAGTTTACCTAGCATGATGGCTAATTAGCGATTTGATTACCAACTTGCTCAGCTAGCTACCCATCGAGTTGCGTGTGTCATCATCTTACCCAAACATTGGAGTCTCTGCGCTCAACTAAGGCAGCGCATCTATGCCGGTGAATCGACAATGGTGTAATGATTCAGTTCGACTCCCAAGACGATTCTCACCCGACTGGCCAATAGGAACGTGGCCCCGCCCATGACATTATTTTCACAGCGAGAGCAAAATCCTGAGAGCAAGAAATTGCACTGAGAGCAAAGACTTAGGTTTTGAGAGAAACACATTTTTTTGAGAGAAAAGGTTTTCACAATGATAGCAAAAAATATATATATTTCAGAGTTAAAAAAAGTATTTTGAGAGAGATTTTTTTTTTCACAGAAATAATTTAAAAAATTTCAAATTTATATTTTTTATGTTCTATGAGAAAACACTTTCTCTCAAAACTTTTTTTAGTCTCAAATATTATTATTATTTGCTATTGGTATGAAAACTTTTTCTCTCAAATATTTCTCTCATAAAATGCTTTTTTGCTATCAGTGTGATAACTTTTTCTCTCAAACATTATTTTTTTCACTCAGATCATTTATTTTTTCACATGTAATAAAGACACAAATCTAACTCCATACGAATCAATGTTAGAACAAAAGCAGTGAAATCTCCATCCAATCAAATCTCATCAGCTGCTGTGCTTTGATTGTTCTTGAGATGTTAACAATGGACTAAGCATTGATGTAAACAAAGCTGGACACTGCTATAATCTAGAGTCACTGCTCTGCTAATCTAGAATATCTAATTTTTAAGTGTCCATCTCCTCAGAGAGTTTATAGATTTGGCAGCATCCCTTGGGATGCTAATGCTAAGCTTGCAATGGAAGAACTGCATGCTGCCATACAACAGACTACACACCCGGATACAGCCTTTATTGTGTAACTTATAGCCTATGAAAATGACCTACGCCCTTGAAAGCATTTATACTTGTTCACTGGTGTGTCTGCCTTTCTCTGCGAATAGCTGTGCGAATAACTTTGCTGAAGTCAGGACCACTTTTGTCAAAAGAAACATCATTTCCAAAAGCAGAATGTTACATTTGGCGGTATGGCTCTGTTCTGGGATCTCCTTGCCCTTCAATGTTCATTAGTAGAAAACCTTAAGGCAGGGAGAGCACACCTCCCTGCCCTTCCATGTGCATACATAGAAAAGTTTAAGACAAGGAGAGCAGCAGCAGAGACCCCCCAGGGTACAGAACAGATCAGAAATGACATTGATTAGTTCAGATACACCATAAAAGAAGGAGCTGGGGTGAAGGTGGGTTGCAAAGCAGCTAGCACAGGAAGCAGCAAATATAGACAGGCTAAAACAGCTTAAACAGGGCGCCCTGAATGGTATTTGCCAATAGGAAGCTTGAGCCATCAGCTGATGTGTGTTTATGATTAGCTGAGGTCAGCTGATAGTAGCTGGAATTGAGAGCTGAACTTGACTTTGTGGCCTGCCTGAACTAATACTATGCTCAGTTTGGTGATTTCTATGCCACTGTGTTGAGTTTTGACTGAAAGAGAGAACACTTTTCTTCTATTTCAGTTTGGAAAATGAAATTACTAAATGTACTCAGGAAACTGGGGTTATATCAAGTAATTACTATTTTTTGCTACACTGGTCTGCTTACTCATGCTGTATGCCAGGCCCATCTATGTCTCTCTTCTCGCAAACCTGGACCTGAAGACTTGTTCGTGCTCTCTGGCTTAGGTAATGTTGAGTGTGACTTCTTCAAATGTGTGCATGATGTTGAAATGAAAGTAAGACTTTATAAACACTGGTTTCACCAGAGCCATTTGAAATACAAAGGAAGGCCTTATGAGAATATTCACGATTACTCAAGAATATCACGATAATGGAAATTCACCACAATAAATGTGTTGTTTATTTGTGTTTTTATTGCGATGCATGATAATGTTGTATATCATCCCATCCCAATGAGTTGGACTTTCAAAAACAAAAAACAAAAACACTATTTATCTCAGTTAACCATCCTTGTTAAATAGCAGAACTGGCTCTCTGATATCATTTGGTCAGTAGGTCTGCTAAATGTGGATTGTCTTCATCAAAACTAATTCTACTGCACTCAATAAAAGACAATGTGTAATGTTTAATAATCTAATAAACAGCTTAATGGCAGAAGTGTAAGGAGCAGAACTATCACTTTTGTCCACCTGAAGCAGTCATTCATAATGTGGACCATACTTCACTTTGATAATCCTCTCCAGAAACTGGACAACATAGTTTCTTTTAATTTAAGGGGTTTCTAATGCTTACAATACATTGTCCAATGGCATGAATTTACATAAGAGGTGGAAGACAGGGAAAATCATCAACAGCCCTCATCCAATGCATTATACAATACATTCCCTAGATCAAATTAAATTAATCTGTTCATTGTGCACCACTGACTCATGCCACAATCACAGTACCTATGGTTGTGATGACTGTTCCAGCAAAGAAGAAGGCACTTCCCAGATCCCAGTGGCTGGAGTTGTAGGAGGTGTCACCGACAGGATTCACTCCGGCGTTCACAGCCTCCACAGAATGCTGGGAGGAGAAGAACGGAGGCACATAAGAAAAGCTTGGTCTAACTCTGGTTGCTGAGGAGTCTGTCTTACCGTGCTTTGGATTCAGCATCTTGCTAGAATAACAAACTTTCTACTCTTCAGTGACTGCTATGCTCACTCCTAAATACAATCAAAGGCTCTCTTTGCTGCTGATGTTACTGTTGGTGTCGTCACTGCTGTAGTTGTGGATAATGGTAATTGTAGATCTTTTTCACAGCAGCCTTTTTTACATAATATGCAAACACAGGTGTTACCAGTGATACTTATTAAGGTTCGGTCCATCGACATATATAAAGTCGTCCATGTCGACATGACAGCTCTTGGGAAGCCAAAACACCTCTATCACCCTCTGTTGGCTGACTGCAGTGTAGGTCATAAAGCCCACTGCCTCACAGATGGGATATGGGCTGAACTAAAAAATATCATAGCACATGTACAATAATTAATTTATCTGTTCATATCTCAACAGACTCAACAATCAACTATCTTTCTTGCCTCTGATTTGTTGTTGTTCAGGTACGGTGGACTTACAAATGCCATTAGGAGCTCTAGAAGGAGCCAAAGGAACCTGATTTTTTTGTACTACTGTCAGGATATAGTGAAAGTTTCAGAAAATATGACAAAAAGTTATTTTTATAAAAGTCCCTACATCAGTGCATAGAAATATAACTTTCTTGTCATGAAGCAACACTATCTACAAAGGTGCCTCTAGAATAAGCTGCTCTCCCAGTGGGAATGTTCAGAAGGATAAGAGGGGCCCGTGGGAGTCTTAGCAGAAGGTTGCTAATTGGCATCAGTCAGACAGGTCAGGGCAGACAGACAGACAAATAAGACCTGTTGTTATAGCACAATGACAAACAGGACGGTTGCACAATATAAAGGAGTGAACGGCTACTACTTTGGTATGCACATTGAATAGTGTGATAATATTTTAAGAGATATCATTGTCTTACTCCTGTTTGTCAGAAGTTGAGTTGCCAAATTTCCGCAACAAAATAAAGCTTCAAAGACAGTGTTGCACTGAACACTGCCCAGAGTCTGTATCAGCATTTCACTGTGAATTGAATGTTGCCATTGAATATGTGAGTAGACCAACAGAATGTCAATTAGTTAAATAGAGCAAGTGTCATCATCCCTCCTCCCGGGCTACAGTAACACCTCTCAGGGGACTGTGAAAAGAAAATTCTCAAATCCATCACCACACTCATCCGGTTGCACTAACTGTCACTGCCTCTCTCCAGTGTGTGCCTCTGCACAGTGAATGAGTCTGGCTGAAGAGCAAGGAGAGGGCACGAAGGCAGATATCAGGCGCAGGCGTCACACTCAGTGCCAGTCTGCCCTGCGAGTGTCTGCCCTGGCAGATGGAGTCTCAGTGTAATGAACCACACTCAGGGTGTGACAGATAGCTGTGTGGCTGGCTGAAGGGCAGACACACAAGGACACAACTGATGCACCTCATCCACAGAGAGTCTAACTCTGATCAAAAGTTCCACTTAGTAGACTTGCCACAGACTTTGCACAGTGCATTTCTCAATAAATAAGTATAAATAATGCTAAATTTTTTTTTTGTCCCAGTGCCTTATATCTGCACAGCAGTTCCACTATTAACAAAATAGACTGTCAACATAGTATTATACTAAAATCTAACTGTTGAGTGTAAAATAAAGAAACAATGAAAGTCAATGAAAGGTGTAATATAGAAAGTAATAAAGAAAAAAAGGAAGGTGTTGAACTGGCAGACCTTGTGCATGTCAGGTTAATTGTTGTCGAACCCAGAGCTCTGTAAACTTTGCACATTCTACTGGTGTTAAGAATAAAGCTGATTATTGAGTAAACTAAATCTTCTCCTATTGCTTCATTAAAACGAACGCGCGAGGAATGAGTTTTTGAAATAAAAAAATTCCTCAACAAAATGGTGACCCCGAAGTGATTTAGACGCAGACGTGATTTAGACGGAGACGTGATGCAGACGGAGAAGTGAGACAACCAAGTGTTTCTTCACAACGGACGAGAGGACTGAGTGACAGCAAAACTTTGTGGGCCCGCATAAAATAAAGGTAAGCAGAAGCCTGTTATAACAAAATTCTGCGATTGGGCATTGTCAAAAAACTGTTTTGAAGTCACTTGTGATACTCGTCCTAGGCATAGTGTGAACCAGTATAGTGTGCAACATAGGGCACGTTCCCTTAAGGAGGTCGCCAACAGGGAACCTGCTGTGAAAGCGCATGAGCAGGCTAACCCGAGGGGTTGGAGTCCCGTTGGGGTTAGAGGCCCCACGAACGATGCAACGGTTTCAAGCCCATCCCGCTTTTGTGACGCTATACTTTTGATATAGTGTGACAAAGGTAAAAGGGGTCTTTCGGAGACGCCCCAAGAGTCTGGTTCCGGTACGTACCAGAAGAGGGGGATGCCAGTTGGGAAAAACTGGGTACCTGCCAAAGGGGGAAACTCCTGTGATCCGTGAGAGTCGGAAAAAAATAAACAATCTGTCCTAGTGAAAAATTAGCGTCGGCGGTACAGATTATCCTGAGTTCATCAGATATATTGCTTGTGCAAACATATGAACATAACAGCTGAGCGTTTCTTAATGTGACTCTGTTAAAAAGGCATATCGGGGATTGTGTGGGTGGCTTTTCAGTTGTTTGGACATTTTGGTGAGACTCGTCTCGTCCGACTTCTGCCTGTGGGGGGTTGGGTTGATATAGGGAGTGTGTCTAAAAAGTGCGTACAAAGCCTGGGAGAGGACCCCCAGAGTGAGACCGGACTGAAAAGATTATTTCAGCCTAGGAGCTTGTCTCACTGGGCATTAGTTGTACAATACTGACCTCTGAGTCATTCACACCAACCCTGTATGTGTTTTAAAGTTTTTACAATCAGTGTGTTGTAGCACGTTTTACAGGTTGTTTTTTAAATAATGGAAAAGGAATTTAAAAAAGATTGTGGGGAGAAAGGGGAGGTTTTAATAAGCACAGTGGGTGAGCAGTGGGAAATAGTCAGGGAACAAATGATTAGTGGATTTTCTAAAGATGAACAAGATAAAATGATGAAAGTACATGATGTTACATGGACTTGGCTCCAGGAGCAGGGACATGTACCTGGTAACATGGAGAGGGTGAAATTGTTGCCGTATTTAGCTACCGCAGAGAAGACTGTGGCAGAAGAGCTAGAAAAGCAGGACACTAGAGTACAACAGGGCTGGCTGGCCAAGATAAAGTGGAGGAAGACCTCAGAGGAGTTAGACAGAAAGAGAGCTTCACTACACGCGATATCATTAGCCTGCGCAGCAATAGGAGCATGGACTAAGACTGTGACCACGACTGTGACCAAGACTGCTCCACCTATGGAGCCGGGACCATTGCCCTTATACACATACCCCCCATACCTCGACAACCCTCCTTATACCCCGGCCTCTCCGCCGTACACAGACAATACAGGCTCCGGTAATCACAGTTAATTCAGGCCAATTGGATTTAGAGGGGAACGTCTTTGAAGGGACAACAGAGCAATTTGAAGAGTTACAGAAGATAATAAAGGGGCAAACAAGGGAGTGAGAGAGAGAAAGATAGGAGAAATACTGTGGGGACTTACGTAGAGCAGCACAGGGAGCAAAAGCAGCGCGAGAGGGGGGAGAAAAATCCGACAGGGAGCCCAGCAGGACCATTCCAGGCAAAGATAGACAGGAGAATAGGAGAGAGTGGCAAGGGTGGGGGCGAATCAGAGGAGGAAGAGAGTACATATGGAGAGGAAGAATATACCAGTAAATATGTGAGGCACAGATGTCAGGGCAGCTAGTTATATACCACAACCAGCCAGAGCAAGATATATCATCTTCACAGGAATGTGAGAGGGGTCAATCACCCATCACAACTGCCATCACTTGCAATGCCACTCATCGCCAAGAGCAATGGAAATACCATTCTCATTCACAGACATGAATTGCATTTTAGAGAAAATGCCAGCACCCACAGAGGGGGGCCACAAATGGATGGATAAATTCAGCCAGCTAACAAATGGCTGGGATTTATGTATAACCCTAACCCTAACAACTAGAGAGTGAGCACCGTAAGCTAACTGAAGCTAAGAAAATAACAAATTCAAACACTCAAATGTTACAGCAGCCGATGGCTCCTCCTGCGCCGGCGTACCCGCCCGTGCAGCACATGTATGCTCAACCTCCACAACAGATGGAAAGGGGAGGGTTTAGAGCGGGAGGGCGAGGAAGAGGCATGGCACCACAACAACCCCGTGGTCTATGTTGGATCTGTGGTCAACCAGGTCACTGGGCAAGACACTGCCGAATAGATACACCACCCCAAAATAACTACCCACAACAACCAGGGTATGGTCCACCACAGCAGGGATATGGCCCACCACCAGGTGACGTACGTCACCAAGCTCCAAATACTGCCGCAGCCCCTAGAGGACAATACCCCTCCCTAGGCGCCTGCAACGACCATGACTTGTATCCAATCCCTGATTGGGTAGAGGGTCCCCATTACCACCAAGAACGAGGCCCAGGAACCTCTGACATCGGTGAGCCAGGTGCGGTCTCATTCACAGATGCTTTTAGATCAAGACAACACATTGGGCGCTATAGGGCAGTGGGCGGATATTTACTGGGGGTTGGTGCTGCCAGAGACGTCGAAAGGGGGTGGTGTAAATTCATTGTATACAGACTGGAAGCCGTGGTTGCATATGCAGAATCCCTATGCCCCTCCCCCTGATCCTCTCCATGTCACATTGTTTTATGATCGGGATGAAACTTGGGTGTATCATGAGGCATTTATAGCCGTGGAGGGTGCGGGGGCTCAGGTGGAGACCAAGTGTTTGTTTGCAGGACCAGAAGGGATAGCGGCTGTAGTAGAACTGAATGATGAGTTGGATGTTTCTGAAAATCCCAAACTCTGTCAATGGTGTGCTTTTTCAGAAAAAAGGGGGTGGGAGACAAGTTCTGACCTATGCAAGCGTCACACTAGATGC